GGTACAGTATAACAGTGTAGTGATCCACCATAGATGGTACAGTATAACAGTGTAGTGATCCATCAAAGATGGTACAGTGTAACAGTGTAGTGATCCATCAGAGATGGTACAGTATAACAGTGTAGTGATCCATCAAAGATGGTACAGTGTAACAGTGTAGTGATCCACCAAAGATGGTACAGTATAACAGTGTAGTGATCCACCAAAGATGGTACAGTATAACAGTGTAGTGATCCACCAAAGATGGTACAGTATAACAGTGTAGTGATCCACCATAGATGGTACAGTATAACAGTGTAGTGATCCATCAAAGATGGTACAGTGTAACAGTGTAGTGATCCATCAGAGATGGTACAGTATAACAGTGTAGTGATCCATCAAAGATGGTACAGTGTAACAGTGTAGTGATCCACCAAAGATGGTACAGTATAACAGTGTAGTGATCCACCAAAGATGGTACAGTATAACAGTGTAGTGATCCACCAAAGATGGTACAGTATAACAGTATAGTGATCCACCATAGATGGTACAGTATAACAGTATAGTGATCCACCATAGATGGTACAGTATAACAGTATAGTGATCCACCATAGATGGTACAGTATAACAGTGTAGTGAAGCACCATAGATGGTACAGTATAACAGTATAGTGATCCACCATAGATGGTACAGTATAACAGTGTAGTGATCCACCATAGATGGTACAGTATAACAGTGTAGTGAAGCACCATAGATGGTACAGTATAACAGTATAGTGACGCACTACCAGCCTTCACTTGGGCGGCACGATGGGTTCCTCGCCTCCTGATAACTGAGATACCTGTGCAACATTTCGTCATCTTTATTCTGGAAACGTTTCGTCACGCAGCGGCTTCTTCAGTCCAAAGCAGAGAAAAGTGGAAGATTATACACATCCTGGGGACCCTGTCATACCTATTCTTGAAACTTTGGATGGTGCTTGTTTGTAGTCAGGTGGTTATATTTGCACGGATCCACATCCCGTGACCTCACTCTCACATTCCTAGTAGGCTTTACTGACTTCCAGGGTCTCATCACGAGATGATGTTTGCCATCATCATCTCGTCTTTGTCCTACTTACAACCCTGAGACTGAAAAAAATCTAACAGTGTTGTAACTTATTTGGAGTCTTAGTTGCCTCCTGGATCCTGGTTCCTTTATGGACCTCAATCTATGTTTGTGTGTGTGTGTCCCCTCAAGGAAGGTTCCTTGATGTTGGTGAGGGGCTCTTGATTTAGGGAATTGGATCTGTGCTCCAGTTCCCCGAATTAAGCCTGAATGCCTTCCACATCCCCCCACCCAGGCGCTGTATAATCCTCCGGGTTTAGCGCTTCCCCTTTATTATAATAATAATAATGTGTGTGTGTGTGTGTGTGTGTGAAAAATCAGGGAACGAGTGGGGTTTGAACCCTTGGCAAGTGAGTCATGAAACTCACAGTCCAGTGTGTTAACCACGGGACCAGTTGGCTTTAACAAGATTCATCAAATTCGATATATTTCTATACACCATAGGGAGGTTAGCATGGGCCACTACTGTGACCACAAATGTAGGTTTTTACAGACGCATCCCACACCAGCGTGGCTGTGACGTACTCCAGCTCACATTCAAACCCGCCATCGTGACTTACGAAATTGTGTGTGAGATTGTGTGTTCGTGAGTTGACGAATGGGTGAGTGGGTGGATTGGTTTGTGGGTGGGCGAGTATGTCTCAGAAACATAAGGGTTTAGGAAATAGTGTGGAGTTGCAAAGTATAAATTTTTATAGGCTCTTACCAACAAAATATGCAGATAAATGCTTGACACGGCAGTGCTGTCATTATCTGAAACACGACCCAAAAAGCGTGTTGTAGCAGAGAGACATCTAGGGGGAGAAAACTAAACATTGATAACATGGTAATGAAAGTCGAGCCGCTGATAATGTTGGGGGCGCAGGTAGTGGCTCTTTGATCCTGGAATCTCTTTCAATATCATTTGCACTCGTGTTGCTGAAACACCGAGAGGTTTGTGTTGCAGGGGCAGAGGGGGAGACGACTCCAACATAATAGAATTCTCAAACCCTCTTCTAATTTTTGAAGCGCATTCAACTAATATATAATTTACACTAAGGCGCTACTGTGGTGATCCATTATTTTCTGTATCGCGTGGAAAACTTACCAACATATCTCGTAATGTGCTTTTTAAATTTTTATTTGGTGGACCGGAAAGCAAGCGGAAGCCGTTACCTGGAGAGTGTTCCGGGGGTCAACGCCCCCGGTCCATGACGGAGGCCTGGTCATGGACCGCATCAACAGACTTTTTCGTATTTCTCTTTACAAAAAAAAAAAAAAAAAACCACCACTAAGAGACAGGAATGGAACAAGAATATTTGGGGTGGTTGGTGATGCCGGTTGTAGAGTCCAGTTTGTGTCTCCACTATCCCTGTTAGAGGGATAACCTAAGGTTATTCTCAGATAAGTTTAGTTTCGTGTCTTAAGGGAACATTTGCACGTGAGTGGATTAATAAGATTAGTACGTTCAGTATCACAATTAACAGAAATATCTATCACTGTGACACTTAGTCGCTTGGGTATCCAACTTCTTAAGAAGTTGGATGCGGGTTTTTGATGAATCGTCGATTTCCTGATCACCCAGGCTGTTGGTTATCATAAACAGCTTGATTTTTTTTCCCGAATTTGGTCCAGTTTTTCCCCTAAAAACCTCTAACCCTGTTCTAGCAATTATTTTTTTTTATATCTGCTGGTAGATGATGGAAGATTCCTGGACACAAATGTTTGGACAATATTCTCTAATTATGTCACCAAAATTCTTTACACTGAGTTAGTCTTATTTACTTATATATGTCTAACACGTGTGAGTTATGGCAGTGTATACCTGGAGTATACCTGGAGAGAATTTCGGGGGTCAGCGCCCCCGTGACCTGGTCTGTGGAAGTCTGGATTAAATCCTAAAACTTCAAGTGTTTCGGATGCTTTTTTCATCCATTATCAGAATAGATTTAAGAAATTCTGCATCTGCAATACCTGAGTCTTATTGATTTTAAAGGTGATTATCTCCAGTGGATAAAGAAACACCCAAAACGTCAATAATGAAGCTGAATATTGACACACACACATATATATATGTCGTGCCGAATAGGCAGAACTTGCGATCTTGGCTTAAATAGCAACGCTCATCTTGCCATATAGGACAAGCGAAAATTTGTGTATGCAATAATTTCGCCAAAATCATTTTGAACCTAACGAAAAAAAATATATTTCACTGTGTTTGTTTAATATTAAGTTATTGTAAGCAAATCTAAAATATATTTAGTTGGGTTAGGATAAAATAAATTGTTGTTGTTATAATAAGGTTAGGTAAGTTTTCTAAGATTCTTTTGGTGCAAAATTCTAAATGTTTACATTAACATTAATGCAAAAAATATATCTTTAAACGTATAAGAGAAAATTTCATATTCGGCACGACATATATAATATATAATATATATATATATATATATATATATATATATATATATATATATATATATATATATATATATAAACACTGATCTCTGGCTGAAGGAGACTCGAACCTACGAACCTTAGGACAAGGTACGCAGTGCTTTACCAATCTACCCACACTGGACAATACCTTGGCGTGTAGCATGAGCTACACGTTTGATCCAAGGCAGCCAGCTTTCAGGGAGAAATTCCAAATGCTTTCGTGATTTCTCACATTATCAAGGATCTGTAGTAATAATACAATAGCAGAAGACTTAAAAGACTGAGATATCGCCTCCCGTCCGATATTACACCCGTTCCCGCAAGAAGGTGTTCATGGTAAGGGAGAACCAACATATTCTTGGATGAATATGATTGTTTGTCCTTTATGAATTGTAAAATGTATTTCTGGCAATTTTAAAGAATTTATCAATTTAGTATTTTGGGTAATTTAGATCATTAGCTATTTCATAAATCTTCAAGATTTCTTCACCTGTGAACTCTGGGTTGAAAATACGCAAAACTCTCAAAATACCGATGAGAATAGACAAAGTTTAACTTTGTCATAATGTGAAGAAGAGTAGTGCACATAGGAAGAGTTATTTGTTGGTTTTCTACATATTTTGAATTTAAACTCATGGTTCTTCTTAATTAAGAAATCTAAAAAAGACAATGATTTATTGTGTTCAAACTCAACAGTGAAATTTATGGAATGAGCTAGACTATTTAATTCTACAATATCTGTACGTCTTAGCTCTGCTGGGAAGGATTTTGTTAAGTAAGCTTGTTTCAAAATATTCGATGTACAAATTGCTAAGGACAGGTGAGAGAGGATTTCCCATTGCCATACCAAACTTCTGAGTGTAAAACTCACCATTAAATACAAACTTTACATCAACAATACAGAGTTTAATAAGCTCAATGACTGTAGGTACTAGCAATGGTAAATCGTAATTACCGAGTTCTTCAGATAGGAAATGTAATAAATCATCAACTGGAACTTTTGTAAACAAAGAAGGGACATCAAAACTAAGCATAATATATTCATTCAAATCAGTCATGATGCTCAACTTACCAACTAAATCAATATTATTTTTAACATTAAAGTTAGAAATTTTGCCAACAATTGGGCTGAACATATCTACTAGCCATTTGGATAACTTTTATAAAACTGAACCTATGGAGCTAATAATGGGTCTACCTGGTTTATGTGTTTTTATTAATCGATACATATATGGTAAAGATGGATTATTGATCATGAAGAAGAAGAAGAGTAATATTTTGCTAAAGAACAATATCATTAAATTTCCACATTCTTGCACCTGTTACAACTAACTTGTATTGTTTTAATATTTTTCAAATTGTATTTCTGTTGTTTCAAAGACTTGTAATATGTTTTTCTGAGTGTTTACCCTGGGAAAAGTTGTTTGCACAGGACATACAAAAGATATCAGTCTTGTTACTTAACCCTCTGCTTATATTTTCTCTTATTTTTCCAGGGCTGACGTTGGTTTCGGAGTCCCATGGGATCAGTGTCTCCTGCCCTCACTGAAAAGATAATCACTGGGCCTCGCCTAGTTACGCCAGGTCCATCTGATCACACAAGGATCCATCTGGCCACACCTAGCTCCACCTGTACACACCTATCTCCACCTGTACACACCTAGCTCCACCTGTACACACCTAGCTCCACCTGTATACACGTTGTTTGACTGTGGACAACACTTAAGATGCCTAAGTGCATCTAGGGTTGTCAGATCCCAGTTAGCGTGTTACTGCTGCATCTGGAGTTTGCTGCAGCTTGCTCACCTAGACTGTGGTACTTTCTAGTGCTTAATTCAAACACATATAACTGAGAGAACTTGATAACAGCACTCCAGTAGCTCAGAACCTGTCTAATCTAGTCTTACTGTGCGATCTTGCTAGAAATGTTCAGAAATTGCATTTTAATGCCAGTGATCTTAATTTGTTTCTTTTGAAATCTGTGAAGTGTGACTCATTAACTATTGTTAATATCGTGAGCTCGTGTCCCCGGACAGATTATACAACGGGCGAATTTAGTCGAAATCTTTGTGTGTAGATACTTGAAAATGTTGTGTTGGGAGTGAGAGGTCAAGGATGGCAGTGTTAGGTAGCCCTGGAAGGGTGGGAGAGTGCTGCAGGCACTGCACGCTCCGAGAGGTCACTAGGTAACCAGCGAGCACTCACACAGCCCTAGGGCACTGGTACATAACGTCCTGTGGTGCGAGACCCGGGAGTGAGAGCAACACTCTCAGGACATTGCCAACACATGTGTCTTGGCTCCTGTGCCCAGACAAATCAACTTGTTTGGGTTAGCGAATTCCAACAAAAGCGCCTCTGCAGATCGGTGCTGTTAACCTATGTTGCCTTGGCCATTGTGGCGTGAATAATGGCGTGGGGAAACAAGGTCGTGTGTTAAGAGGTACCGAGAACTAGGAGCCCTGTGTCGTCGCCGCCGTCGCCATGGACGACTACCACGACAAGAGGTTCATCCGGGCCCTCCGGGTACAGCCCTCAAGCCGCACCCAGGAGGTAAGTAATTCTTGTGAACTGTGGTGTTTATGGTAATATGTGTACCACTTTACACTCGCTCCTCCTACACACACACACACACACACACACACACACACACACACACACACACACACACACACACACACACACACAGAGTTGTTAGCAAGTGGAATAGTCTGGAAAGTGATGCAGTGGAGGCAGGATCCATACAAAGCTTTAAGAAGAGGTAAGATAAAGCTCATGGAACAGGAAAAGTGACTTAGTAGCAGCCAGTGAAGAGGCGAGGCCAGGAACTGTGAATCGACCCCTGCAACCACAACTAGGTGAGTACACACTCTCCATGGGTCGTGAGAGAGGGAGCAGAGGCGCAATGTGTCCCACTAACAACAATCTTCAACATATCTATCGAAATAGGGCAACTACTTGAGGTATGGACGACAGCAAATGTAGTCCCAATTTTTAAAAGAGGAGACAGACACCAAGCATTGAACTACAGACCAGTGTCACTGACATGTACAGTATGCAAGGTCGTGGAGAAGATTATCAGGATAAGAGTGGTGGAGCACCTCGAAAGGAATGAGCTTATCACCGACAACCAGCACAGTTTCAGGGATGGGAAATCTTGTGTCACAAACCTACTGGAGTTCTATGACAGGGTGACAGCAGTAAGACAAGAGAGAGAGGGGTAGGTAGACAGAGACAGGATGTTCCAGAGATGCGACACAGCAGCAAGGTGTCACAATTGGAAGTTGAAGACTCAGATGAACCACAGAGATGTTAGGAAGTATTTCTTCAGTCACAGAGTTGTCAGGAAGTGGAATAATCTAGGAAGAGATGTAGTGGAGGCAGGATCCATACATAGCTTGAAGAAGAGGCATGATAAAGCTCATGGAGCAGGAAGAGTGACCTAGTAGCGACCAGTGAAGAGGCTGGGCCAGGAGCTGTGAATCGACCCCTGCAACCACAACTAGGTGAGTACACACATACACACCGAGTCGTTAGCTTAGTCTTAACTCCAAAGTTTATACATAAATTATCCATGAAAACAGTTTATTATTATTATTATTATTATTATTATTATTATTATTATTATCATTAGTGAACACAGATGAGCATCAGTGAACACAGATAAATATTAGTGAACATCATTGAACACAAATATACATTAAAAAGACGGATGAATGTCTGTGAGCACAGATGAACATCAATGAACACAGATGAACATCATTGAACAAAGATGAGCATCAATGAACACATGTGAGCGTCAGTAAACAGACAAATTTTATTGAACACAGAGCATCAGTGAACACAAGTGAATATCAGTGAACGTAGATAAACATCAATGAACATCATTGAACATTTGTGAACTCAGGTGAAAATTCAACACCAGTCTTTATTAACATTTAACAGTCCATGGCAACACGCCCACACAGCTCCAGGCCCAGACTCCTGGAGCTCACTGTTCACCAAGAACTGCGAGAAACCCTTATCACGTTCCTTCAGTATTAGGGTGTTTCGTAGCTCGGTCGCTAGCGCACTGAGGTCCGGAGATAGAATTCCCGGTACGACTGGAAAACATCAGGACGTGTTTCCTTAAGACGCCTGTCCAGCTTCACTCATCAGTAAAATGGGTACGTGGGTGTTAGTGGACTGGTGTGGGTCGCATCCTGGGATAAAACTGACCTAATTTCAGAGAAATGCTCAGCATAACAAGCGGCTTTCTATATAGTAGTATGTCATTGATGTCAGCTATGGTCTGTATACCTTGTACATGTACTGGTAGAAATAAAGCTATTATTATTATTATTATTCTATAGAGAGGGAATTAGACACGGGGGTCATCCCACAATCACTAAAAACAACTGATATAGCCCCAGTCCACAAAGGTGGCAGTAAATCAATTGCAGAGAATTAAAGTCCGATAATTTTAACGTCCTGTATCATGCAAATCTTTGGAAGAGTTCTAAGAACAAAGATCGCAAAACCACTTGGATACCCAATTGCACAATCCAGGATAACACGGGTTTAGAGCAGGTCGCTCCTACCTTTCGCAACTCCTGGACCACTATGACATGGTCTTGGATGCACTGGAGGACAAACAGAATGCAGATGTAGCATACACAGACTTTGCAAAAGCCTTTGACAAGTGTGATCATGGTGTAATAGCGCACAAAATGCGTGATAAAGGAATAACTGTCAAAGTGGGTACATGGATCTTCAACTTTCTAAGAGAACTCAAAGAATAATAGTAAACAGAGTTAAATCGGAGACTGCCACAGTGAAAAACTCTGTTGCACAAGGTGCAGTACTCGTCCCCATCCAGTTCCTCATCCTTATATCCGACATAGACAGAGGTGTAAATCATAGCACTGTGTCTTCCTTTGCAGACGATACTAGAATTTGCATAAGACTGTCATCGATCAAGGACACTGTAAATCTTCAAACTGATATAAATGGGCTGCTGAAAACAATATGATGTTCGGCGAAGACCAATTCCAACTGCTCCGTTATGGACAACTTGAGTATTAGAAAAAGGTGTATAAGACAAATTCTGACCACACAGTAGAGGGGGAAACTAATGTGTAGGGCTTAGGAGTGATAATGTCAGCGGATCTCATCTTCAAGGACAACGACAATGTCATTATCACAACCGTGAGGTTAATGAGAACTTTTAAAACAAGAGATCCATGTTAGGTAAAAGGACACAAACGCATCTAGTACAACATTTTATTTGGCAACGTTTCGCTCTCCAGGAGCTTTGTCCAGCCTTGACAAACAATTCAGTGACAAAGAGGGTATATATTGGGATATACTGAGGTACAAATCACAATGTAATCATTGTAGGTAGTAGTATTATTTTTTGTGGTAGCAGTAGTGGTAATAGTTGTGGTACTTGTGGTAGTAGTACTAGTAATTGTAACAACTATGTGATGGCGGAGTTCATTGTTTTAAGGAGAATTCTTGGTAATATTTCGTATATGATGACATTGCCTTTATTCTGCTTAATTGTGTTAGAAATAGCACGACTAATGAGGATTCAAGGCATTTACGTCTACGAAAATTGGATTCTTTAATCACTAGTCGGGCGTCATTGAATTTCCTCGGGTGGTTGGTGGAATTCCGGTGTTGTACACAGGCGTTGTTCAAGTTATCGTTCCTGCATGCATTAATGTGTTCACTGAGACGTGTTCAAAGTTTTTTGCTGTTTCATCTATGTATATTCTGTCACAACCTCCACATGGGATACTATAAACCCCTGCGTTGATTGATTCAATATTCTTCAATTTCGTCCTAGTCAGATCTTTTATGGAAGTACTGAATGCGATGGCATCTCTAGTGTTACCTTGCGCGAGTACTTTAAAAATGTCCAGTGCAACCTGGCTGTAGAGAAGGTAATTTTACCAACATAATTACAAGCGATCCAAGCCAGTGATGATTCTCTTTAAGTCACTTGTTCTCTCTAGGCTTCAGTGCTGCTGTACACAACCAACCCCTTTCAAGGTAGGCGAAATTGCAGCTGTAGAGAATGTACAGAGAACCTTCACTGCACTTATAAACTCAGTAAAGCACCTTAATTACTGGGAATGCATCAAGTCCCTTGACCTGTACTCATTGGAGCGCAGGAGAGAAAGGTACTTCATAATTTACACATGGAAAATCCTGAAGGATCTGGTGTCAAATATACACAGAAATCACTCCCGATGAAACTTAAGGTTAACAAAATAAGCGTCAGGGGCCAAAGGCTCTTCAACAGCCCCCTCAGTATTCATAAGGGGGTCTACAAATAGACCCCTGGCTGTCTTCAAGAGGGAGCTGGACAGATCCTAAAGTCAGTTCTTGATCAGGCCCTGATCCACGGGGAGGCCTGGTGATGCACCGGGCGACTGGGGCGTTGACCCCCGGAACAACCTCCAGATAGGAGGTAGTTGAACATCAGTGAACACTAATGAACATCAGAGAACAAAGACGAACATCAGTGAACACAGGCGCACATCAATGAACACAGATGAACATCACTGAACATCAGTGAAAACAGATGCATACCAGTGAGCATCAGTGAACACATGCATATCAGTGAACACACATGAAAATCAGTGAACACTGATGAACACTGAACACTGATGAACATCAGTGATCACTTATTAACATCAGTGAACACAGTTGAACTGATAGAAGGATGATGTAGGGAGCTAGGGCAGGTAGAAGGATGGTGTAGAGAGAGAGAACAGGTAGAAGGATGGTGTAGGGAGGAAGAACAGGTAGAAGGATGGTGTAGGGAGGGAGGGCAGGTAGAAGGATGGTGTAGGGAGGGAGGACAGGTAGAAGGATGGTGTAGGGAGGAAGAACAGGTAGAAGGATGGTGTAGGGAGGGAGGACAGGTAGAAGGATGGTGTAGGGAGGGAGGAAAGGTAGAAGGATGGTGTAGGAAAAAAGAACAGGTAGAAGGTTGGTGTAGGGAGGGAGGACAGATAGAAGGATGGTGTAGGGAGGGAGGACAGGTAGAAGGATGGTGTAGGGAGGGAGGACAGGTAGAAGGATGGTGTAGGGAGGAAGAACAGGTAGAAGGATGGTGTAGGGAGGGAGGACAGGTAGAAGGATGGTGTAGGGAGGGAGGACAGGTAGAAGGATGGTGTAGGGAGGAAGAACAGGTAGAAGAATGGTGTAGGGAGGAAGAACAGGTAGAAGGATGGTGTAGGGAGAAAGAACAGGTAGAAGGATGGTGTAGGGAGGGAGAACAGGTAGAAGGATGGTGTAGGGAGGGAGGACAGGTAGAAGGATGGTGTAGGGATGAAGAACAGGTAGAAGGATGGTGTAGGGAGGGAGGACAGGTAGAAGGATGGTGTAGGGAGGGAGGACAGGTAGAAGGATGGTGTAGGGAGGGAAGACATGTAGAAGGTTGGTGTAGGGAGGGAGGACAGGTAGAAGGGTGGTGTAGGAAGGGAGGACAGGTAGAAGGATGGTGTAGGGAGGGAGGACAGGTAGAAGGATGGTGTAGGGAGGGAGGACAGGTAAAAGGA